GGGTGCCACAGTGCGTCATATAAAGCCCAGTCAGGCAATTTCACGAACATGTAGTCGAACTCGCTTTCCAACGCTCTGTTTAAACTCTTTACATGAATTCCCCGGTGCACTCACCGCTTCCGACGCCGAACTCGTCCACATTTCCGTCAATGCGACGCTTCAGCGTTTTGGCAGGGCGTTTTACATGGCGTCCGATATTAACAGCCTTGTCATGGATAAGCGTACAAGGTCCGCTTATGAGAGTTGCCTTGAGCTGTTAGAAGATTCTGTTTACCTTCTATCCCGATCCTTAACCTCCGTTGCTCCCAGCGCCGGAAAATCACCACCGGGAAACAATAACGACGTGCAGACGTGGCTGAGCGCTGCGCTCACCAACCAGGACACGTGTACGGAAGGTTTCGCTGATGTTAGCGGGAACGTGAAGGATCAGATGGCGACAAATTTGAAGGATTTGTCTCAATTGGTGAGCAATTGCTTAGCCATTTTCGCTGCCGTGAACGGAAACGATGATTTCGCCGGAGTTCCGATTCACAACCGTCGGCGGAGATTAATGGGTACTGTTGCGTCGGCGAAAAATGAGAATTTCCCGAAATGGCTGTCACGGAAGGATCGAAAGTTACTGGAAGCGCCAGTTTCGACAATTCAAGCAGATATGATCGTTTCAAAAGACGGTAACGGAACGTTCAAGACAATTGCAGAGGCAATTAAGAAGCTCCCTGATTACAGTTCTCGCAGAATAATAATTTACGTCAAGGCAGGAAGGTAAAAATAATAAAAAAATACTCTATTATTTTTGCTTTTTCACTACTAATTAAGAGTACTTTTTCCTTGTCCTTGTTTACATCCCACGTGATAGACTCAGTATTCAGTAGTTAATTATAGCATTGATCTTCTCATTTCTTTGTCGTCCTCATCATGATATTATTTCTAGTAGGCTTGAAAGCATTATCAAATTTTCTTGATAAAGTATTGTTCGCATATTTTATTTTCAATTCTGAGATTGTGTGTTCGAGTGATCAAAGGAATACAAATTAAAATTTCTATTTGCGCATGTAAATAACAGGTATGAAGAAGATATCCTGAAAGTAGGGAGGAAAAAGACGAACGTAATGTTCATAGGTGACGGTAAAGGCCAGACGATGATATCAGGTGGCAAAAGTGTATCACAGAATCTGACGACATTCCATACCGCGTCTTTCGGTATATTTACTCACTTTGACTACATTTTTTTTAAAAAATAGTGATATTTTAGTCGTCAACTTGTACATACCTACCTTGATTATTACATGTCCATTCAAATAGTTTAAAATCAAGCATCAGCGTCACATTGCTAGGCTGGTGTTTTGCTTTGGCTCCATTTATATGGTTTCCCTCTTGACTTGCCTCTTATTACTCCTATTTATGTATCGTGATGTGTGGTGGAAAATTGAAACAGTGGGCATGGGGCGGCCCTCTTCATTTTGGCAATTTTAGTACTAGCATATCAGCAGCAGTAATAGAAATTAGAAAATGCACATGGCCTTGTCAGTGAATTCTTAGCTACTTTGTAATTAAGTCTCAGTCGTCATTTGTATGCTACATACCCTCCAAATATCTTAGTCTAATACTTACTATTTTTATTTTGGTGTATGAGAAAATAAATGTATGTTGGAATGAAATTGCTAGGAATAAATATGAATTCAAATGACCAATCCCATTATCCCAATTATCAAAACATAAGTTAGATAGAATGTTTAAAAATGTGGAAGCACTAAATTGAGGTGTTTTACCTATTTTGGGAAGCATGGACAGTAACATTAGTCCAGGGGATATAAAGGACGTTAGCCCCCACAATTTTGTTTCTTCATAAAAGAGAAATGAGTCTGATATATTCCTCAATTTTGTTATTTTGAGCTGATATATATTCATGATGTTATACAAATGACTCATACATACCCTTTTTCTCTAACGAAAGTGAAAAAATTAATTTTAATTTAATTTTTTAATTATTTTTTAAAAATATATATATAATTTATATGGGTATATTTATCCTGTATTTCTTTTGACTTTTTTTCTTATTGATGACCAGTTTTTTTTTTTTCAAGTACAAAAATTAAATTACAATATAGCCACAAAAAATCAGTTTTAAATTTTTTTCTTTACATTAATTTATAAAAGAAAAAAATAAAATAGGAATAAGCAACTCAAATAATGATAATCAAAGAAGTTAAAAAATAATTTATGTATAAAAAAGATTAAATATACCTTAAACTTTGCTAGATGGATCATATATACTCCTACGTGAAATTTTATAAATTAAAAGTCAAAAATATAAATTTAAAACTATTTTTTTTCACTTCCGTTAAATGAAAGGCATATGTGAGCTCATTTTGTAATAGCGGGGTATATTTGAGTTATTTGTATAACAATAAGAGTATATATGAGCCACTTTCATAACGATGATTTATCAGCTTCAAATGATAAAGTTGAAGGATATATCCGACCTTTTTCCCTAATAAAAAATATGAAAAAATTGTATATGAGAATCTAATAGAAATCACAAATAGTTGATCCTTATCCATGACATGATTGGCTTTTTAAAAATCTATAATCTGAAGACAAGTAGTACTAGGGATAGCGATATGACCAGTAATTTGGTAGGCTCATTATATTTTAAAGAAATAATCACATGTTGGGAGGTGAGGTAATTAATATTCATGCCCCTCCTAACTGTTAATGTCCTTTTGACTCACTTTCTCTAACCACTTGAGTAGATTTATTACTCCGTGCGTCCCGTGGGTCATTTTTTCGCTTTTGAGATTAATTTTTAAAATTAAATTAAATTAGATCATTTCAATATTTTGAAATAAAGTTTAAATATTTAATAATTATGTAAAAAATATTATAAGTTTCAATTTTTAAAATATTGATCAAAGTTTACATAATTTGAATTGTGAAAAAGTACTCTGTTATCATCTCTGTAACATTGGATCATGGCCTCACAGTACAACTTTGTTGATGTGCAGCGGCAACTGGAGCTGGATTCATTGCAAGAGACATTACATTTCAGAACTGGGCTGGACCAGGCAAGCATCAAGCGGTAGCTCTTCGTATTGGTGCTGATCATGCTGTGATCTATCGATGCAACATCATCGGATACCAAGACACTCTGTACGTGCACTCCCAGCGCCAATTCTATCGCGAGTGTGATATCTATGGGACAGTTGATTTCATCTTCGGTAATGCAGCAGTGGTCATCCAAAACTGCAGCATTTATGCTCGAAAGCCAATGGATTTTCAAAAGAACACCATCACAGCTCAAAACAGGAAAGATCCCAATCAAAACACTGGAATTTCAATCCATGCTTGCAAAATCATAGCCACATCTGACCTCCAGGCATCTAAAGGGAGCTTCCCCACGTATCTAGGCCGACCATGGAAGCTGTACTCACGAACTGTTGTCATGTTATCTTACTTGGGTGATCACATACACCCGCATGGTTGGTTAGAGTGGAATGCTACTTTTGCTCTTGATACATTGTATTATGGTGAGTATATGAACTATGGACCGGGAGCAGCCGTGGGGCAACGGGTAAAATGGCCGGGATATCGTGTGATCAATTCCACGGATGAGGCCAGCAAGTACACTGTAGCGCAGTTCATTTTTGGATCATCGTGGTTGCCTTCAACTGGGGTGGCATTCTTGGCAGGTTTGAGTACCTGAATAAGTAAATGAACATATTTTCAAGATGGAATTTTATGTTTTGTGCAGTAATATATGATGAATAACATGGCATGTCCCATTAATAGTATTTCCATAATTAGGTGAATTTGCTCCATTATTGGTGATCTGACCGAAGAAACATTCCAGATTACAGCTTTCATTGTTTATTAAGTGCATGTAATTTGTTTTTCTTTTTTTGTTATTATTAGATCATATATATACTAGATTACAGCTTTCATTTTTATTATTTTTTGCAAGTTGCGCATTTGTCTGTTCAACTGAAAATAATTTACATTCTCAAACCAAATCTACAATATTATGTAGAAAAAATATATACATTTTATGTGTTTTATATGTTATATGTATTTACCAGCTTTTACGTATATAAAATGTAAGAATCTCATTTTTTTAATATCAAAATGGACTACATTCGATAAAAGTGATGCGCTAAAAATTACTAATTGGAAAACCCGATGGACTCCGTTAATGTCTTACTAAAAACAAATGAGAAGTAAAATATGATTATTGAGGAAGTCCTGCATTTGGTTGGAGGTACGAGGGATAATTAATCTTGAAACAACTTATTTCCAACCAAATGACCCCTAGTCTCATCCATAAGAACTTATGCCCAGTAAGTCTGCATTTCAAATAGTACATGTACTAGCTAGGTGTAGTGAACTTTTTTCTATTTTTGCCTTAAGATAATTGCTCAAGTTCATATAAGCAAACAACCCGTCGACTTAAACACCTAACACCTGCCTCATCCCTTTTAGCAGAAAAAGTTGGAAGTCATTTGTCCCGTGTGATCCATTTTCTTAAATCTGTATACAGATGCTTTTCACAAGTTCATTTCTCTCGTTTGTACATAGCCATACTATATGCTTTGCCGGTTAAATTTATGTTAGGTGCCAAAGGTTTTTTTAGCACGATGGAAGTTACGATGCACAACTCTTACTATAGATATATAATGTTTTAGAAGGCACTTGCCCAGTATTCACCCGAGACAAGGCACTCAAAATGTCTTGAGATCTTAGGAGGGGCTTGTCTCGCGATGCTTACACCTCAGGCGTGCAGGTGTGTGCACAATGCCTAATGCATGAGGTGCATCCAACAGTTTTCGCACACTCATGGGTTATATATAATAGCCTTGCAGACACTCGAAACTTCTTAACCAACTCTTTGCTCCTCAAAAACACTATGAATAATGCTAACCGAATGGAGACAGCACAGAAGCCATGATTTCCCCTTAAATACTAACCTTTTTCTTATATTGGATAGCTCTGCCTTTTGGAACTCAATATTGTTTGGTGAATCTCCAATAATCAATATAAAACCTGATATTCTTCTGATTATTGAACTCCTTTGCACTGTATTGAATTGGATCATCCAAACACCAGCGTGGAAGAGGCTATTTAACATGACCTTCAAAGATTTGTATTTACACGCACAAGTCTACATTTCTGAATCATCAACCTCAGAGCTTACCACAAAGCTGGGGAATGCTAAAGTTATATCCCTGAATAAAGCAAGGCCACCATATCAGTACTATCAGGTAATAGCAATTTATGTTTCTTTTTTCGACTATCCAAATAGCTTATAGTCATTTCAAGAGGAACGAGAAAAAGTAAAAGAATGTCTTCGAGATAATCACACGATGCCTATCTGAGTTTCATTGATGCCACACTTACATCAGATAGGGAAGTGTCATATTCTTTAGAAGAGACGGATTCTTTGAAACAAATTCCTTCCACTCTTCTGAATCTATCCTCCCATCACCCTTTGTGTCTGCATCGCTAAACGTCTGGCACACAAGATATAAATAGAGTGTGAATAAACAGCAAAGGACAACATAGTGAAAATTGGCGCGAAAGGTAGTTTAAACTTTTAATTAGTCTTCACCTCATCTACAATAATCTCAACTACGTCATCTGAAAGAACCAATTCTGATTCATGCAGCAGCGCCAGTACCATCTCTTTCAACTGCAAATTATATACATGCAGCAGAGAGATTATTACCTTTAGCTAACATGCTTTTGCTAGTCAAAGTAATATCACCAATGATTGAAAGCTAAAGACTGGGAGTGTTTATATTGGGCCCTAACAATGATTGTCAAGATGAGGAGAGCATAATGCATATATAGTTGCGATACCAACCTCTTCTCTCTCGATATAACCAGTGTGCCTTAGATCATATAATCTGAATGCAACTGCAAAGATATTAAGCTAGAGACATCAATGTCAACGAATAGGCATACATAATGTGTTTCATTACAATACTGAAAGTGAGAAATCAGAACTAAGTGAAAGGCACCATTGTCAATTGTATAAAAGCTAAGAAAGTTCATTTCCTACATGACATTTTATCAGCTACTGGTGCATTAGGGTGGAAGATACCCAGTGATCGGACAAAGTCCCCAAACTCAATCACTCCATTGCGCTTAATATCAAAAAGATCAAATATCTGCATAATAAGAAACTCAGTGAAGAGATATCCACAACTTCAGATGAACACAAAACAGGGAAATTGACAAAAGAAGCAATAAAATTATCCAATCAAATGGAAGAGAAGCAGTAGACTTCCAGCATAAGAGTTGATGCGTCAAAACTGTTTAATCAACAATGCACAGGATTCATCTACAGAGACCATTTCAATGAAAAATTGGCCGAGAAACATACCCTATCTGCAAACAGATTTTTCATTTTTTGGTTCCTGAAGAGTGCTAGCTGAAACTCTTCCTGATGACGGCATTGCAAGAATTAGAATAGGTAGCCATAACACATTATAGACTTATCGACTAGCTAAGTACTATATCAATTATACATTTAAAAATCCTAAACATGGAAAGATCGTGTATTTCTCTTTGCAAGCAGTAGATATATACCTTATGAATGAGCCCATCATCAATAATGCAGCTGCTTATTCTTTTGAACAACTCATATAATGCTTCGACTTCACTCACTGTAACTGCAACATTTTTTAACACAGTTCCTAAATGATTAGCAATTGTAGTAAGAGGTTACTGATAATCAAACCTAATACATGTTTCTATCTATTTTTTACATCCATGCTTGTAAACTTAGTGATGGACGCAATAAAATTGCTAGTAAATCAACCAAATTGACAAACCAGATCATACCTCTCGTTCTCAGAAGACATCATATTATGGTTTTCATAGTAACAAGATTTGTGGTTTTTTTCCTTAACCATTGTCATTGAAGTCTCATGGATGAAATGCTATCATAAGTCTTTTGATTATAAAATTAAATGCACTTTCTAAGATCTGGAGGCCTGTGGGATGTGATCCTTATCCTGAGCTCTAGTGTTTTTTTTTCCCTCTCTAACACCTTAAAGTGAGTGATTCTTTTTAACTATCTGATAAAGGAGGGCAGGATTTGCATAGGCATAAAATAATCTATATTGGCAAAAGATACATACTATTTCCGATTGAATACCAACTGCTTCTCTTAAGGCCATATAATTCGCAAAAGTTGACAGCTAGGAAACCAGTACATTAACTTGAATGACAAAACATGACTAAGATTCTCATACTCACAAGGTGTCTCAGCAGCAAGCACAGTGGGCTCCTCATATCCGGGTGTGTAATGGAGTGTTGTTTTTGAGTGAAAGCAGCCCATCAGAACATAATAAGATTGTTTTAGAAATAATATAGACTTCACCTGCCACAATTAAGATTATTAGGTCACTAACACTCTTAAGATAAATAGTGTGAGTTAGAAGCAGCAGCCTAACGATCTGCCTCGTTTAGTCTTAACAATTCAGATATGCGTGATCATCACACAGAATTAAAGATGAGCAAACTTACTTCATCAACGACATTTCACATTTTTTACTCAATGGATAAGGCATCAATTCTTGCTTACACTTACTAAGCAGATAATTATGATGTAGGCTAATACCATACGTTATACGTCTAATTATTAATCAACTTCAAATTCAGGGGATAATACAGAGAGATAGAGACCACTTGTCAAACTATAGAAGCGGAAGCCATACATATAGCAAAATTTCTATAAAAGTACAAAACCATGAGAGCATAAGAATTAAGAAAAGAGGGGAAAAAATAATCACTTTGTTACCTACAGAGAAAGAGTATTGAGTCTAAAAGCAGAAGCAAATGAAACTAAGAAGAACAAAACACCCAAATTTTTCAATCCTAGGGCTTAGTTTTAAAGTTTTGGCTTTAAATTTTGAGAAATCATTTCAAATTATTGCTTTAGTTTTGGAGAACATTTCAAATAATTTTCAATATTTGTGCGAGTATATATACACAATTTTTGAATCAATTTGACACTCAAGTAGGACAGTCAATTAATTGAGTAAATACAAATTTGATTTGTTAAGTAAAAGTCAGCGTGTTATCGGAGTTGCTAGTTGCAACTTGCAACACACCAAATATTAATACTACTACTTTTTTTTTGTCAAAAGTTGATGAGCTTTCAATGACTTCGCTTTCACCCCCAAAAAGATAATGACATATGAAACATCCAAAGTTTTGTTGACAAGAAAATTGCTGATCGCTATGGGTCGGTTATAACAATTTATAAATCACATAAAATAAATATATTAATATTTCGAATTTAATATTTGATTACATGTTTAATTAATTCAGTGCGATTAAATATGTGTTTTCCATTATAACGTAATCATTACAATTTAAATTGAAAAACGACATGTTTTAATAATTTGTTTTTATTTTTTCAAATATTGTACGTTGAATTTTTTTTCTTGATATAAATTTTATGAAAAGGTTTGTAATGGACCATGAAAATAATTAATTCTCTTAAAATATACCCCTTCATCTGCTAGGGATGTTTGATTAGATATGAAAATGGTGAAACTTAAACATGTGATATATCTTTGACATAAAAATCATATTATTAATAGTAAAACAAAAAATATAAATATATAAACAGATGTTATTCTTTTAGTCTCACGGAGTTGCTTGATAATCTTTGCCAAATATAATGAGTGTTAGATTATTTTCTTTGTGAAATTAAAAAAAAAATTGTTTTAATGTATCTAATTACAATTCTCACTATCAGTATGATTCCCCTTCATCAATCACATATTCCAAGAAAGAAAAAAAAATGTTTTTAAATTTTTTTGTAATGAACAATAATTCATAGATATTTATTTATATAATTACAACCCATTAATAATAAACGAAAGGTTAACGTTAAATTTTTCTAATGAAAAAAAAAATATCTATACTTAGTTTATAAGACATACAAAAGAAATACATATTATAATATTTTTAGCTATAAATTGGATTTGAGGAATTGAAATAATTAATTAAAAAGAAGAAATACATCACTTTTGGCTGCATTGCATATATCGTCTCGTAGATGGCACTTGTAATCCTCATCCTTCCAACTCGTTTTCAGATAGGGATTGTGAAATACTATACTCCTATTTATTTATTCTATATAATATAACTAATAAATAAATGTAACATACTTACTTTATCTATTTTTTTTCAGTTTTAAAAAATGAAGAAATAATTTATTATTTTATATAATTATTTTCAATTCATTAATTTTGCATTGAGTAAGATGACTTATAATAATTAAGAGTAATATAATAAAATTATTATTTCATTTGTTACTTTTAAATGTTGGATAAAATAATATAACATTGCCATGTTTTCTTCGAATCGATTTGACTTTTTCTTTTCCATAAAATATGCGTACTACTTACCAAAAATGTGGTCACGTCTCTAATTAAAAATTAAAAAGCAGGTAATAAAATAGTACCTTTGGTCGAACAAATACATGAAATTTTATTATTTATTTTCTTCCTTACCCAATTTACTTAAATGTTGGATAAATCCAGAAACCTGATCTCACGTAGAGCTGTCAATATGGACTGACCCATCCCATCCGGGTTAACCCATACAGGCTTTGCAATTTGACAGGCCAGGCCGGGCTAACCCATTTTTTATGTGGGCCAAAAAATGATCAGCCCAGCCCACAAGTGTGTGTGCTACGGGCTTTGCCGGGCCAGCCCTCTTTTCTTAAAAATATATTTTTTATAATTTTTTTAATTAAATTATAATTTAAAAATATTATCATCAATATCGACAAGACAATATTACATGGGGTTAGTGTTATTACTTGTTAATCAAATACACAAATAAAATTATCTACAGAATATTTATTAAGTTTGATTTCAAGCAAAAACATAAATAGCTAATAGAAAAACCTAATTATTTTCCAATAATCATAGTAAAACACAAAAACTATGATAATATTCCAGAGGCTATGACCTATGTAGTGATTCCCCAGAAATTTTAGAATTTTTTTATTTTATGTAGTACATATTTTATAAACATAATTTGTATTTAAATTGTAATATTTCAAACTTTAAACAGATTTTGAGTGTAGACTCCTATTATTTTTAATACTCTATTTTATTTTATTTTTTAATTAATTTTTATTTGGCCCACGGACCGGCCCTATCCATATTTCTCAAGCCCCACAAATCGACAGACTTATTTAGGCCGGGCAAAAAATCTCTTTTCCTAAATAGGCTCAAAAAATCGTAGTCCAACCCTATCAAATCACGAGTTAGGCCAGGCCAGCCCAACGGGCCTAGCCCATATTGACAGCTCTAATCTCACGTATGGGGTACGCCAAGTATTATATTTGCTCGTTGACATTTTTCATTATTTTACGATTGTCAACAACTGGAAACTTTATATAAGTTGACGTGTGTGTTGAAAACAAGTTATGATAAAGTCTTTATTGAAATTTGTAGCAAAACAATTAGTTTGAAAAGGATGGAACTTTTCAAAAATCTTAAGTTTTTAATTTATCCACTTCACAATTAATAGAGATAAAATGGTAAATTCATTATATCAATCATATTATTGCTTAGTCTATAATGAAAGTTTTAACAATTTATGGATTGGTTATAGCATTAGAACAGAAGGAATACAACTCAGGTGTAGAGTGTCACCTTGACGTGGTGAAAATCATCTTTAACCATCATGGTTTCAGGAAGAGAGCAATAAACACAACAGCAAGATGGTTATTAACAATTGATAGAACTAAAATAAGGTATATGTAACATCCTAGTACATGCATGGTCAGAGCACAAGTTCTTCTTAGATACAAACATAGTGCTGTCTTACACACCAACTACATGCACATTACATCCAACAAAAAAATAGGGTAAGAAAATATAAAATTAAATCACCCAAAAAAAAAAAAAAAAACAAACTAGCTACATAGATTTGGTATGCACACACCACCATCTGGATTTTGTTGTTCCTTCCATATCCTTCCAGTAACTCGAAGTTTCAGTTCTTTCCGGTCACCACCAGAAAAGAAAAGTGCCATGTTACGCTGGATTATAAGACCATCATGACTGTCCCTGACCTTGCGATGACTATCTCGGATACTTCTTGGGGTACCCTCCCATATGAGTTTTCTACCATTTCCTCCTACCTCTAGACTGTAGCTGTAATTACGTGCATCCGTTTCATCACCCATGAATCGTAAAAATGCCATATAAACAGGGGCCACACCAAGCTGGAAGGCCTCGAAATGGAGACAGAAATATTGCCCAAAACAATGGAAGACCTGAGAAAGGAGCAAGAAAAGTCTGTCGGTTAAAACACACTACTTCGATGAAGTTGCTGTGAGAATATACTTGGAGGGGGGAGGAGAGCACGGTGCACACATACATACATTATACAGAAGGCATGCTAGGCAAAACTCAACCCAAAGCATGACTCAGAAACTTGTCCCAGCATATCTCATATTAGAATCGTTCAAAGCAAAATGTTCTAGGCATCTTTTGACATGATAAGAGGCATTCTTGTTTATAATTTGAAAACAGAAGCTTTTCCAAAACAGATTGAAAATGACAAGACAGAATACAATGGCCATAAGGTGAATTTTTCATTCTTCATAATCACAATAAACACTGTACATAATTGGATCAAAACAGTTTAACCTTTCAATAGACTGATTTCTATTATTCTCAAATGGATGCCATCAAAAGTATTGATTTATTAAAAAAGTAGCAAGATTGACCTACTAAGAAAAAGAGATAAGAATAGAGGACGTGTTTTTTTTCTAATAAGGAGGAATCCAGGACGTGTATTAGGACAAAACAAATGGAAAAAGAGAGAACATTTGAACTATGAAATAAAAGCAGGTATTTCAAAAACATAATAGACGACATAGGATATTTTGGCATCCAACTGTTCCCTTGTCAATAATTCATCCATATACTTGTTGCAAGTTCATTTTATAGGCTATAGCACTGGGGTGGTTAGTGTGAACTTAAACAGCAACCACATTAATCATTAGATAGCAACAAACAAAAAAATTACTTGATGCTAGCTATCATTTTATTCCAATAATATAAGAAGATGCTGGAGTTACCGTCAACATCCATGTTGCATTTTCTACTTCACGAGGATTAGACTTCACATAACGATGGTTGAACGTGCATCCCGTGTGCATATCCACTTTGTGGTCATCTCTTAAATGCGTAACCAAATAAGGGATGTCCCCAGTCACTGAGCACTCTGACCCAGCATATGGGCAACTGTACGGTCTAAAATTGCACAATGTTTCATGCTTAAGTTTGCTGTAATATGGGAATATTTC